GATTTTAGTAGTGCACGAAAATTAAAGAGCATATAAGGTAGGATCAACCCCAAAATGTCACAACTGAAAACGAGAATACAAAAGCAAGAGCAAGAAGAAAAACATGATAGAGACGAAGAGGACGAGGCCTATTCGGTTTAACATCAAATAACTGAACTCAAATGCCAGCAACAAGAAGAATGCACATGCCAAAACATTGATTGACCAAATTGAATTTCTCCAATTAGAATGATTAAACCAAATAAATCTAATTCTTCCTCTTTGGATTTGAATCCATGAATCTCTTTTCATTTTAGGAGTAGAATATGTGTCCATGGACCAAGATCTCGATTTGGTGTTCATCATTCAAGCACATTGTTGGGAGAAAAAGTGACAAATCAAGATTTGAATGGGTAAAGTAATGTGTAGGGGGGAGAGAGAGAAGGGTAAAGTAACGAACAGTAGAATGTGAGAGAGGGACTGAGAGAGAGAGAGAAAGTTGAAGTGATGAATGTAAGTAATATGCAGTAAAATATTATTGACTACGGAACGATAGGATAGGCAATAAGTAGTTTGTTAAGGTTATTTTGGTCAAATAAATGTTTTTCACTTTTGTTGATATTTATAAGTAGTATAGATAGATTATTATGAAGTAGTACACTTTACCTTTACTGCTAACAGATACCCTTCCTTACTTTATAGTCGATCCTTATGTGTAACCGATGTAATAGCCTCCGATCTTAACAGTTAACACATGAATGAATGCAAATTAGTATCGACAATAACTTAACTGATGCAAATGAATGCATATGAATATGTTTCGTGACGTTTCATATTCACCACAACTTAACTTCGGCATTCAAAGTTCAAAGACCAACTGACCCCTCAAACATTTACGAACTCAAATGAGTATCCTCTAAAACCTCAAATTAGAATGTAAACCTGTATTGCCACTCAACTTATGTGCACTTACAATTAATTTAAAAGGAATCTGATATCCCATTTTATATAGTCAAATCCATCGTTTCAGACCACTGTGCGTTACCGCACTTAAAATTTTAATACAAATCCGTGATTTTCAACCCAAATTCAAAAAACAATCATAAGTTCTAAAATATGTTAAGCATTTGTAAATAATGTAAGATCTGATTTAAAAATGAATTTGAAAAGTTTCGACTGATTCAAAATTTAGAAACTCTACCCTAGGCTACTTTTTGATCCAAAATAGTCAAAAATAAAATCATGTTATTTTTCATGAAACTTCATACACATACTCAATTAACCTATCTAAAAATGAATATAAAATTTATTTTATCAAAATCACCCAAAAATTGGGTTAAATTGGGTCAGGAGGCCAAAATAGTAATTTTAATCCGCATTTTGATCCGACCGTTGGATTGACTTGAAATCTTATCGGGATTTCCGCACAGACGTTACGGAACTTTTGGCAAACCGACTAGAGGACGATCAGACACTGGAAGCGCCCTCACATGCTGTCGGGGTGTCCAGCTGTCCTCCAGTCAACTTTATCTTCAACCTCCGGCCAGCTAGGNTCGGGATTTCCGCACAGACGTTACGGAACTTTTGGCAAACCGACTAGAGGACGATCAGACACTGGAAGCGCCCTCACATGCCGTCGGGGTGTCCAGCTGTCCTCCAGTCAACTTTATCTTCAACCTCCGGCCAGCTAGGGTTTCATGCAAAATTGCCCAACCCCTTCATTTCTATACCTTATTTCTCTCACTACACTTCACTATTTTCCTCCTTTTTAGTCCCTAAACACTCACCACATAGGCCCTCTATCAAACCCAACCTTTAAATCACCACAAATCTCACTCAACTCCAATCAAATTCAAACTCAAAGTTTGTAAAAAATTAATTTTTCATAAAACTGCTTTTTTTTTTCCCCATCAAATGAGTTCAAAATCCATTTCTGAGGCCGGAAATGGATTCTTTGACCCCAATTTAGCTAGACCCAAACCCCCTTTTAAAGTTTAATCAAGATTATCAAAAATTTAATTTTTAGAATTCAAATCCATGTGGGTTTCTTCATCCCACCACTACACACCACGACAACCCTTAGAACCACTCCCAATCAACTCTACAATAACCCAAAAACACAATTCAAGACTCAATTGAAAAAGAAAGACTCGTTTTCTATGAGATTCATTTCATCTGAAACTTTAATACTCAAATTCGACCCTAACCACTTATCCAAATCAAAAACTAACAACATCAATGAATTTCTAGCATCCAAATTAAGATAGAGGTATACCTTTGAGTGTTCGAATAAGCCTCCAAAACAAATCCAAAAATTCAAGTGCTGGTTTTCTCTGTGTGTGTGTGTGTGTGTGTGTGTGTGTGTTTCTGCTTGTTCTCATCCACTCCAAATGATATACACAACCACAATGGACACCTAACACTATGATGATGGCTTTGCACGCCACNTCCAGATGATATACACAACCACAATGGACACCTAACACTATGATGATGGCTTTGCACGCCACCCTTCACCACCAAATGCCACCTCCTACTTCCTCCATGTTAGGTGCTTGTGGGAGGGGCAATTTTGTAAATATGCATATTTTAAATTTTTTTAAAATTAATTTAATTTTTTTTTAATTATGTACTATGAATGTATGCTTAGGTTTCGCAAATAAGTAAAGCGAATGGCTAGAGACCTAATGCTATATGAGATAAGAAGAGTTTTGATTGGACATAGAATGAAAAATAATGACATTAATAAAGATATGTGGGGTATGATTGACTTAACATTATTAAATAGGGATGAAATAGGAAATTAAAAATTTTTCACATACGTTGACATTTATAAGTAGTATAAATTAAGGATTCACTTTTGGGAGACACTTGGGTAGACGTTTCATCTTTTGCTTTGATGTTTCTTGCTTATATTGCTCAACTAGAAATTCAAATTCATTTATTGCTAGCCTAATCTCCTCTCTTTCTTCCCCGGTTTGTTTGAATTGTGATTCTTTAGGAATGTGAATGACAGAGAAGTTGTTGAGATGTCCTCTATTTTAACAATTATTGATAATATTATGTTGAATATTTTTTTCTTTGACCCAAAAAAGGGGACCATTTCTTTTCCGGGGGAGTTTACTTGTAGTTTTTTTTGTGAATCCTTTATTAGTAAGCCAAGTTTCCCACTCATCCAACCCTCAATCATGATTTGGAAGTCTAAGGCTTCATTGAGGGTACACGCTTTTGTTTGGTGGTTTGCAGAAAAGAAACTCAATACTAATGATTTGCTCCAAAGAAGAAGACCATCGTTTTCTGTTTACTTGTAATGGTGCATTCTTTGCAAGAACGGGGAGGAAAGTATAGACCACTTTGATGATCAATGGGAAAGAAATGCAAAAATCTTGATGATCGATGGGAAAATGTGGATGGTTTGGGAGACCACATTCATTTCTTAGCGTTTTTTTGGGCTTTGGTTTCAAAGGAATTTCAGTTTTTTCCATTTTATAGAGGTTGAGAGCATCATATGATTTATAGTTATGCTTTTTCTTTTTCTGTCTTTGTTTTCTTTTTTTAGCTTGGTTGGATTCTTTATCCAACATTTTTTGATGTATTTTTGAGTTTCATTAATGAAAGTTCTTGGTTCCTATTAAAAAAAGTATGGACCACTTATTTTTACATTGTTCCTTTGTTTCTTATTTTTGGAATAGGCTTTTGGGTTGGTTTGAAATTTCTAGGTTCAAGTGACAAAGCTATGTTCTATTGAAGTTCTGCAGTTTCTTCATTGTTTTGTGTGGTTTGGTTGGAAAGACACAGGGGGATTGTCGATGAAAGATCACTTCTTTGGAAGATATTAGTTTGGATACGGCAAAAATCATTCTATTAGGTTAAATGCACTTATTCGATCTAATAAGTACCTTGTGTTAGAATTGAGAAAATTCTATGGCTCGAATCTTTAGTATTCTCTTATTTATTACTAGTGTCTATTATTTAGGGAGAATACCATAATCTATTCTTACTGAAAAACTGAAAGAAACCTCAAAAACGGAAAAGAGGGAGGAAAAGAAGAGGGGGGGGGGATGTAGAAATATAAAGAACTTTCGAAACGAAGGGGATAAACCAAGAACCAGAGGGATCCACTAAAGAGGATTCTTTTCCTTACCTTTTTTCAGAAAAAAAGGCGGATATGGACAATCGACGAAGCGGAAGAGATCCAATTGAATGGAAAGAAAAAAGCAAATGATGAATTTCATTTTCACTTTACAAAGCCATCCTATAACGAACAAGAATAAGTTTCTTCTTAAAAGAAAGTAATTTTTTTCATTGCAAAAATTTTTCTTAGAGATTCAAAAAATAGCAAAGAATAGAGGAATAAAAAGATTTTATTTTTCTTTGGGTAAGTAAATGAATAAAGAGATTGATACATAAGATAAATACAAGAAAAGATATGAAGAATTGTGCGGTCCTTACAAATTTGATACCTTTTCCTACAAAAAAACTAATAACAACTCTATTTGTAATTCAATCAACTACTTGTCTATCAAAAAATGAGTTAATTTAGCTAATTCTAGTAAAGGATCTTGCATAAAAAACATCTATGTAACCACGATTATGTGACCAACTATGTATGACATGTGTTTTTGTCTCAAAAGAGTAACCTTAAGACTTGTTTTAATAAATGAATTAATTAATTCCAAATTTTGTAAAGATTAATAAAGACATCTATATAAAAATGACGCTGTAAATATTCTTAAATAAACTCACTGAAAAATAATCATCTTTGACAAATTCATACCAACTTGTCGCATTATTTTAATTTTCATGTAAAAGGTTTATAGAAGGAGTTAACCATTTGGATAATATATCGAAATCCACTCCTTTTTGATTGAAAGGAATTCTTAGGAATCCAATGAGCAAATTAAATAGAACCAATAGAAGTAGAGGAGCTGCTGCCCGAGAGGACAGTTTTAGGGGGAAGAGACTCTTTCTTTTTTTCGATTGATGGCCTTTCGAGTGTCTATTCCTAAGTGAGGAGGCTTATGATTCTCAAATTTATACTCTCTGAAGCTGGAGGAAGGCGCCTGGACCATGCATATGCAGTAGTATTTTAGTTCTCACAAAAACAATCAAATTTGATGCATGGATTTGTCTTGTTGAATTTTTTCTAATTCTGTTTTTTCTTCCAATTTTGGATACTAGAATGCATCAACTGCAGGAGTTGACCAACAGCAATTACTGTCATATCAAGATCTTAAGAGCAAGCTTGAACACTTCGTAAGTTAAATAATTATCTAAATTGATGTAGTTTCAACATGCATTTATGCTGATATAAATCTTCATGCTGTTTCTTTTGACATTGTTGGCAGCAATCAAGAATAAAACAAGCAGTAACTGTGGTAAAGCCACACTTGAATATGGAATCTGCGGTTAGTGCACTTGTGGCATTGCAAGAATTAGAAGGGCTAGCAACAATGGATGTGAGTGCTCCATTGGTTGTTCAAGGCCAAGAACCACTGTTCCAGAACTAAGAGCAATTGGCCACGGACCAAGAACCCATTTGTGGGGACTGAAAATTTGGTTATGGGTGTTAGGTTTGACTAGAAACAGCTTAGGGGAGGTCTGCACATGGAGCAAGAAGGGCGGTAAAAAGCAAATGTGATTGATGGTGAAGATGTACATGAAAGTATTGTGGTCGTGCAATGCCTCTGTGGCCATAAAAATGGTAGTGTACTTGTTCTTTTCTCAGTGCGATTTAATTGGATTTTACTGTCTTTGTGCTAAATATTGAAGTAGACATGCTAACTAGGGTCAAATGATTTGGATCCTTAGGTCTAGTACTCTTATTTGGGCAAAAATTGGGTGAAAAAACTCAGAATTATGTTTCCAAACTTGAAAAAGCTCGGTGAAGTATGTTTCCAAACTCTTATTTGTTTCCAGGCAGTGTAGCTGACTGAACATATTTGAATGGCAAAATTCTAAGTAATGGCATTGAAAATGACTAGAGCATGGTATTACAGGAAACTCAAAAACAGTGGCGACAATGCTCTTCTGCCTGTAACATTCAAACAATGCTGGACCAATTAGTCTTCAGGAATAGCATGTGTGAGACACCATAAAGAAATTTTTTTGGTTATGGATATCTGTCTTAACCCCATACTATTTATGTTGTGAATACAAATGTATATAATCTCCCTTAAACTACTCTCATTTGGTAGGGTAGAATTTTGTTGCGAGTCTCAAGTGTAGGAATCTCGAGGTTAACACGATTAAGAATTTCTTGTTTGAGCATAGTTTCAAGGGTGCATTTCTTCAAAACTCCTCGAATTATGGCAATCTCAATCAAAGAAGCAGCAGCATATACTTGAATGGATTGGACTTACAAGCTCTGTGTTTGTTCTATTCATGCGTTAAACAAGTGGAAGACCCATATGTATCATATCGATTGGAAATTGCTCGAGTGTGTATGCTCACTGTGCATGTTCTTTTCTATGCGTCCAAAAAGATCAGATACTTATGCTTAAGAGAATAATCTCTTGTTGATGTTGGAGGGATCATCAAACACTTCCATTGATACTCAATTGCTCGGACAACTCGTGCATTATGCTAGACTGTTTACTTCCAGTTTTTTTTCCCCTTTATCTACCTGTTTATTTACAGATAAAATGCGTGTTTTTCTAGATGTAGGCGGGTGTTTTTCCTTGCATGGGACAAAGGTAGAAACTAAGGCTCAGCAAAAGGGCTGCACTCACTAGCTAGCCCAATAGCTAAGCAGCCCATCTGGCCTTGTGCATTGAGGTAAAGGCCGAGCAAGGGCCAGCTCGACGAGCAAGACATAGGCTATCAGAAAACATTAATTGACCCGTTGACCAGTCAAAGCCACAACCACCCTGCCCCACATGAGGGCACCGGCTATTAAGTTGTGGGTCTGTACCTCATCATCCTCATTACGAACAAGTGGGTACCTGAGGTTCTACAAACCATTTGATAAAATCTGGAGGCTTGTGGTTGTTTTATTGCAAGATACTGCACAGCACCTGAGGCCCCCAAGTTTTATCTTCACAGGGTTATCTCAAACCTTTTGTGGCCTCTTGATCTTACAATTTGACCAGCTTGTTAGAATTTGTTTCTTTTTTTTTGGTCAGGCACTACTACAGGGGAGGGGACGATAAGACTTGAACCCGCGATCTTAAGGTTCAACAATAGGGGTGGTGGCTATTAATCCAAACGCTAACCTCACATGTATTAAGTGGGCCAAATTTGACAAATGAAATATTTTCTCCATCTAACATTGATATTAATTAAAGTTTGGCCAAATAGAAAATGAAAAACAGAATGTACTGATCTAAAGTTTTTGATTGATGGCAATGAGTTTTCTATTTTTTTTTATCAATTTTCTTCCTTAAGATACCATATTAGATGTTAATGAACTTCGTATATAATGCTGCTAAAAAAAAAAAAACTTCCTATACGACGACTTGGCATATTGCTCTCGATATAATTTCAGCAACTTGCAGCAAAAAGTTTTGAGCCACCGGTGGTCTGCGGGACCACAAGAAGGGGAAAAAGTGGAAGTTTACTAATCCAATTGACATCGCTAAACTTCACGTATATAATGTATAATAATTAGACTTTAGGTATATTGCGTATATCTGATATATATTAATTTATTAACTTAATTCATTACTATTGTTGAATTGATAATAGATAGATGTGATAATTTTTGACAAGACACGATAACTTGACATGAAAAAATGAGTTTGAGTTGACTATTTTTTGACACAAACCTGTGTATGACACAGTCCACCAAAACAAAGTATTAATGGGTCATTTTTGGGTTCAACCCAAAATTAACCCAATTGATCCACGTATTTAATTGAGTTGACACGAATCCACTTAACCTGTTTGAAACGCGAAATTGACCCGTCTCTATATAAACAAACTTAGTTGAATCTTTAACCCTAACTTCATTTCATTTTTACATTTGAAATTTGAGATCCGCCTCTGTCTATCAGTCTCCTTTTTGTCTCCCCTTCCTAACGACACAAAAATCTCATCCACCAGCACAAGGGTGTCCATGGGCTAAGCCCGTGATTTTTTATTCGGATTAGACTTAGATAATGTAGACTTAAACCTTTATTCGAGTGAGTTATCAGATAGATCGGACTGGACTTTGGATAAAGGTAGACTACCAGTTGTCCAACCTGTGAGCTTGTTGGGCGAGTCTGCTTGTTGATTTTTTTATGTACAACTTTATTTGAAAATAATAAATATTTTTTGTAATTTAATATTTGTGTAAATTATATTTTTAAATTAAAAGTAGAGTCAAAATATATAAAAATAAAATAATAAATAATTTTAATTTTNTTTCATTTCATTTTTACATTTGAAATTTGAGATCCGCCTCTGTCTATCAGTCTCCTTTTCGTCTCCCCTTCCTAACGACACAAAAATCTCATCCACCAGCATAAGGGTGTCCATGGGCTAAGCCCGTGATTTTTTATTCGGATTAGACTTGGATAATGTAGACTTAAACCTTTATTCGAGTGAGTTATCAGATAGATCGGACTGGACTTTCGATAAAGGTAGACTACCAGTTGTCCAACCTGTGAGCTTGTTGGGCGAGTCTGCTTGTTGATTTTTTTATGTACAACTTTATTTGAAAATAATAAATATTTTTTGTAATTTAATATTTGTGTAAATTATATTTTTAAATTAAAAGTAGAGTCAAAATATATAAAAATAAAATAATAAATAATTTTAATTTTAATTAGGTGATAAATTATATACAATAGAATAAATACATCCCAATTATATTAATATCTACTAATATTATCATTCATTTGAATTATTCTACCATTTAAAACTTGTATGCTTATTACATATTACATAGAAAAGAAAATAATATATTATTTATAATATCTAAATTTTTAAAATTTTAAATTCTGACATTGGGAGAGTTATTTCAAAATTAAAATTTAATGGTGTAAAAGTATAATTTTTTTTCAAGGGAATGATGGATGGACTGTGTAGGTGGGCTGGGTTTGGCGGGCCAGCTTGACGGGCGAATTCTTGAGCTGAATAATGGGTTTGGAACAAACCTTCTTTTTAAGAATACTGAGCTCAAGTTAATATNATATAGTCAAAATGTATAAAAATAAAATAATAAATAATTTTAATTTTAATTAGGTGATAAATTATATACAATAGAATAAATACATCCCAATTATATTAATATCTACTAATATTATCATTCATTTGAATTATTCTACCATTTAAAACTTGTATGCTTATTACATATTACATAGAAAAGAAAATAATATATTATTTATAATATCTAAATTTTTAAAATTTTAAATTCTGACATTGGGAGAGTTATTTCAAAATTAAAATTTAATGGTGTAAAAGTATAATTTTTTTTCAAGGGAATGATGGATGGACTGTGTAGGTGGGCTGGGTTTGGCGGGCCAGCTTGACGGGCGAATTCTTGAGCTGAATAATGGGTTTGGAACAAACCTTCTTTTTAAGAATACTGAGCTCAAGTTAATATTCAGGCGGACCAACTATTAGACTTATCAAATTTCGAACTCATTTTTTCGAGCCAAATAACCGTACCCGTGAATAGCACCGACCACCACTATCTCTCTCTACCCCCTCCCTCTTCCTGTTAATCTGTATAAGGCAGTCAGACAAATCGACAACGTGAAACCATNCGCTTATTACATAATACATAGAAAAGAAAATAATATATTATTTATAATATCTAAATTTTTAAAATTTTAAATTCCGACATTGAGAGAGTTATTTCAAAATTAAAATTTAATGGTGTAAAAGTATAATTTTTTTTCAAGGGAATGATGGATGGACTGTGTAGGTGGGCTGGGTTTGGCGGGCCAGCTTGACGGGCGAATTCTTGAGCTGAATAATGGGTTTGGAACAAACCTTCTTTTTAAGAATACTGAGCTCAAGTTAATATTCAGGCGGACCAACTATTAGACTTATCAAATTTCGAACTCATTTTTTCGAGCCAAATAACCGTACCCGTGAATAGCACCGACCACCACTATCTCTCTCTACCCCCTCCCTCTTCCTGTTAATCTGTATAAGGCAGTCAGACAAATCGACAACGTGAAACCATTACAAACTATTGGCCGATGAAACCATTACAGACTATTGGCCCCTGTATAAGTCAGTCTAGAACCACCTCCATATACCCACAGAAATTATACTATTGCCACATACCAGTGGCCCCTACATCGCCACTGCTGCATCACCATACAACCATGGCTTGAATCGACACCGCCACTACGAAACCTACCCTATAATTAGGACCACCCCTAAAAATACCACCCAAAAGGCCCTAATTCTTCAGACAGTAACCTTTCAAACTAATTACGAACTATTGAAATCATTATAGAGTTACATATAGAGAGTATGAAAAAAGAATTACAAGGGGTGTTCAAGGAAAGCATGGATGCTTCTAGTTCACGAGGTTGGGTTTCTGGTTCATGGGTCTGGGTTCTATGAGATG